GTGTGTGTGTGTGTGTGTGTGTGTGTGTACCGTTTGTCCATCTTGCCTACCACCCTCACCCTGAGGGCATTCTGCAAATGCGTGTCGCGCTTTTTCTCGGCCTCCTCGTCCTGGTACGAGGGAGAAGAACTGCGAGCTGAGTATTGAATTTAAACAGGGCGGGTCAGGTTTACCTTTATATGTAAACGTGTCAGCCTTCAGGAAATCTTGGGTTGACCTTGAGTAGGTTGTTTTGCCTGGATGCTGTGCGATCCAAGCCCAGACCAAACTCGTGCCATGTTCACGAAAGCGTTGATCAAGTCATCACCTGCTTGACACTGGTCCTGGAATGCCGTTTCTGAGTGGTTATTTATGTCAGCGGCTGCACTGGTCGTGTCCTGTTATGCGTTTCAGGTACGTCAGTACAAGCACGAGAGAGAGTGTAATCAGGTGCTGATGCAAGCGCGGGAAGATAAAATTCGACGGCTGGAAGAAGTTTGCGAGGGCGTGATCTCCCCTGACACATTTGCTGGCCAGGAATTTTCTGCCTTAGTGTACGAACAGAAAATTCTGCAGGAGAAGGTAGATCATAATCCAGAGATAACTAGGTCTGGCATCGAGCAGCAGCGTTTGATCGAAGAACTTCGACAATACAGGGAGTTTTATGACAATGGGGAAAGAGACCGCCTGCTTGAGGAAATGCGTCATCTCCGAGCACAAGTGCTTTGTCTAATGGAGGAGAAGGGAGGGAAAGGGGGACCCTCAGGAAGGTCGACAGTCAGAAGCAGGGCAGGGGCAGGAGGGAGCATGATGTCGGTGTCAGAGCAGAGTTCCGGATCTGTGCATCGTTCACAGATCCAACGTCGGAGGTCAATAGCTGGAGGGCAGGATTTGGTGGTTGCACGTGCCTTTGGCGAAGATCAAGAAGCGGAAGAGTCCACAGAGCCGAGTGAGAGCAGTAGGGTAAGACAAGAGCTGGAGAGGAGGTTCGCGGATGTGGAAGCAGAACTAGAGGAAACGAGGATGCGAAGTGATGAGCTCCAGAATGAGCTCGAGTTCTGTCGACAGGAGTTGGAGCTTGAAAGGGAGAGGTCGGAAGAAGCGCAGGAGCGGTTTGATGGACTAATGGAGGGCCATGCGCGTCTGATAAACTCGTTCTCTGAGCTGCAGGAAGACAATCTCAAGCTTGTTGAAAAGCAGCGAGCCATGAAGTACGTACCTCCTCACCTTTCAACGTCTCTCTCTCTCTCTCTCTCTCTCTCTCTCTCTCTCTCTCTCTCTCTCTCTCTCTCTCTCTCTCTCTCTCTCTCTCTCTNCTCTCTCTCTCTCTCTCTCTCTCTCTCTCTCTCTCTCTCTCTCTCTCTCTCTCTCTCTCTCTCTCTCTCTCTCTCGCTGTGTCTCTCTCTCTCTCTCTTTCTTTTTGTGGTTTTCTGTATGCGTTCGCTAGTGTTCTCTTCCTCCTTCACTGGTTACTTTCATGGGCGAAAGCACATCCATTCGTGGTTTTACATCTTCGCTTTTCTGTCTCGTCTCCTTTGGCTCCTTCGTGAACCCAGCTTCCACCAGTATATATGTAAGGGTTGCCGATGTTGAATGCAGTTTCCTTACTAGATTGCCACAAGCCGCAAGAGAATGACGGATTGCAGTCTGCTCCATACGGAGAGAGGCAGACGTTGCTACCTACCCTGCTGATTCCTGCCTTTTGCTTGTTCATGGTGTCTCTGGTTGTTTATATGAAACAGGCGTGGTGTCGAAGATCTGAAGAAGAAGGCTTCACTGATGGGTCCTCACTCCGCAGAGGCACGATGGCTTGATCGGTATGCAGCGGAACTGGCTGCCGTGCACATTGAAGGAAACTCTGCAAAGACGGAGGTTGAGTCACTCCGTGCGCAGCTGCAAGAAACAGCTGAGGCCGTTCAAGCTGCTGGAGAGCTTCTATCCCGTTTGAAGGAGGTATGTTAGGCAAGCGGTGATTTACATTACATGTCTATACCCTTACGTATACTCCCTTGATGTTTCAACCTAGGATCTCTATCGTTGACTCGTGATCATGATGCCAGCTCTGACCGTTTGTATGACTATTCGTGGGCTGTATGTGTGACGACTGCTTGCATCAGGCGGAGGATCAGATCCTGGCAGTTCAAGATGAAGCGGCCATAGCTGAACAACATGCCGAAGAACTTCGACGGGAGATGGAGAAGATGACAAGGAGGCACGCCACGGAGATGGCCGTAATGGAACAGAGGTTGCGGGAATCGAGATTCCGGAAGGCAGGGATTTGTCAGATGTGCCAGATGGCAGAGAGGGTAACGTACTCTTTCCCTGAGGCTGACACAGAGGCTATGGAAGCGGCTGGCTCAGCGGAGGATCAGGAGAACCGAGCCGTGTATGGTTGCTATGCCCACCGTTGATGGGTCTTTTTCTTGTATGCCTGGTGCAAATAACGACAAAGGCAGGAGAGGGGGGGAGGGGGGGGCGCCTCATGCGGAGGATCAGGAGCAGAACGGAGAGCGACGGGGAACAGGAAGGGTCAAATGAATAGAGAGGTTGCCTCATGAATGGCCTGAATGGAGAAGAGAAACCCAGGAGAGGAGACAGTTTGGCCCAGGTGAAATGGAGGGGATGGTCCGGTGGGGCTTTCGTCCCTGTTGTATGCACTGCTGAAAGAAGAAACGTACTGCTGCCAGCTTGTTTGATTCACGGTTATGTTGTTTCTCCTTCCCACGCATTGGCTTGTATGAGAGAGACTCTCCATGTTCTCCGAATGCGGGCACACATTCGTGTGTATGTGAGAGAGAGAGAAAGACTCAGTGTAAGACACAGGTCTGAGGCCGTAGTTGGAAGGGAAGCAGCGTGGCGGACTTCATTCATGCAATGAAGGTAACTCGATTTGTCACAGAGACGTCAGCCATTGTTTGAGGAATTCTGGTTCTCGACTGCTTTCCTCGGCCATCATAAAAAGGGCTGTCATCTTTGTGCGGGCTTCTGGATTGGTTAGAGGGGAGGATGGGACACCTTTGTAGGGACGACAGTTGTCTTCTGAAGGTTCCTTTGAATGAAATCATCATCCATTCTCGTTGATGGATTGGTCCTCTCTTTGTGGCTGTGTGGTGGCCATAGACACTGCTGTTACTCGATGGGAGCGGGGAAAGTAGATGGGGGAGGCACAGCTATTAGCAAAATGCTGGGTCCTTGCGTTAGCTGGCGGCCCCAACCGACTCCCTGACCACCACCGATTAGGGCGGGGGGAAACATGCATCCCCTTGATTATGAGAGGTAGCTATGCTGTTAGGGATCCCCTGTATAGGCTTAGGAGTAGTGGTTGCTAGGTAGTGAGAGGTAAAAGTGAGAGAAGAATATAGCTTAGCTTGGAAAAATAAAAAAAACGCGGAGGATGTTGTAATGTTGCCTTCCAATTGTTGATCACCATTTGTCAAATTCTTTCATTCATATCCTCTGGCAGATGATGCTCTCTCTCTCTCTCTCTCTCTCTCTCTCTCTCTCACACACACACACACACACGCACACACACACACACACACACACACT